GTTACCTTAGCTTTTTTCAAAGAGCCAGTGTGCTGGGTAAGCTCAGTATAAATCTGATAAGAAAACCTAAGTGAGGCCCCTCAAACTCGGCCTCTGAGATCCAGGCTGAAAACATGCCATGGATCTGTGTCCAATAATAAAATCCTCCTCAAATCTGGGAGCATTCAGCCGGTCCCTGCCATCTCAATCTTTTAAGTGCCTCCTTCCCATGCTCTTTATTCCTTTCCCCAGTCTCTTGCAAAATCTTGTTCCAAAATGTCAGTCAACCATCAGCTAATGGGATGAGAAGTTGCCTCACCATCACAAAAAACTCGTGGTCCTGGCCCAGGGCCCCCATTACTCTTGTGTCCTGAGATGACCTCCCAGCCTCTATGACATAAGAAGACATCTCAGAGCAGCTTTAAAAATGGAGACTCACATTCATTATTCACTCAAAAGACTAAGAAAAAAAAATGAACAAGGAAATTTTTGATGGGTCACCAGCCAGGACACTGAAATTTGAACATTGAACAATTAATTTGAAGATATATAAACAGGTTTCATTATATAAATTTTAGGAATATGATATGAAGAGTTTTTTGCTTTTAATTTGAGAATGTTCGTCTCCCAAATACATTCTGCACCACGCTCCACGAGGCCCTCTTGCCATGAGCTGGAATCTTTACTCTTAGATTGTCCGATCTGGCTCATTTTCTTCATCTACCTGTGCTACCTAACTACAGATGGATTCCCTCTCTGATTGGCTTTGTGTGGTTGCCTAGGCTACATTCAGTCCAGTTTCCTATTGTGCTGCTGACTTCCATCATGCCAGGGTTCTTTTTCCTCTTAAAAAGTTTGACTTTTCAAAGCAAAGTCTTTTCAAATTTGTTTTGTTTATATAAGTAAAATTCCTTCTTGTTCTTTGTCCTGCTTCAGAATTACAAACATGTAATCCATAAGGAATTCATTAATGTGTAAGACTGAACCTACTAAGTGGATGTGGGGGGCATGTATGTGCATGTACACACACACACACACACACACACACACATACACACACACTTATGTTCTCTTTCTCTCAGAATCTTGTCACTTCAAACCACTATTTTGGAATGTTTAAGGGTATACGCCAACTCAATAATCAAAATCATTTTGGAACCAGGAACCCAACATCAGTCTCTAGACCCATGGAATTTATTGCTTGCTCTGTTTTATTTACTTTAATGCACCGACAGGATTTCAAATAAAGACGATTCTGATAAGATGTGATCCATGCCATCATGATTCATTTTGATCATAAAACAATGCTTGCTTTGAATCTGAACTACTAAAAGCATGGCTAGCCTAAGGGTCATGGTCTCTTTGCCTTGACCTGGTAAGGAGGCTATGATTCATGTACACTTCAGAGAAGAGACTGCTGGTTTTCTGCTACATACACATTCCTGTTTCCACTCCACAAATATGTAACTGAGACCCACTGTGGGGCCAAGGCTATGCTAGGCTTTAGGACCACAGCGGTGAAGAAGATAAACACAATCCCTGCCATATGGCACTCGCTGAAGGAAGATAAGTTGGCTGCATAAATGTCTTGTTGAGACATTTGAGGCCCACACAAAACAGAGTGATGGTGAAGTCCCGGGACTCTGCAATCTGACTTAACCCTGTTTTGTCTCAGGCTTAACCACGCCAACCTGTTCTGCCTTGTACAATTGACCCAGCTTTGCTCAGCTGTACATCCCTAAATGACATTAATACTCACATCATGGGGTTATGTGGAAGGTTAAGAGAAGAATAAAAACCCTTGTACGGTGTTTAGCCAAGAGCTTGACTGATGCCCATTAGTAACACTAGCAGATGGGCCACACTGACCTCCACCAGAAAAGACTGTGTCCTCATCCTTTGCTTGGTAAACTCATGGATCCAAATATCCCTAGGAGACTGCAAATTCTCCATGCCCTAACAGCCTCTTCAGTCCAAAGTACAGGTTTGTCCAGTGCTCAGAGACAGTCTGTCTGCAAAGCTAGGTTGGCTAACCCTTAGCAGCCCAACACTGTTCACGGATTCCCATCACCAAGGCAAGGACCCCCTCCCACTAAGTCCTGACACTTGAAGTCAAGAGATGGAACTCCCCTTCTCACTTCTGAGGCCTGCCGCCAGCCACCATGTCTACAGACGCTGGCCATCTCAACTCTTCCATTTGTGTGTCAGAAGGCACTTCGTTTGGCTCCATGTGGATTTCGGGAGCAGCAGAACTGGAGCTTTCAGTGATACCGGAGTCTTCAGAGTTCACAAGGAAACTACCTAGTGATTAACCCTGGGTCATTAATCCCTTGATACAGTCCTGGCTTCAAAACTTATCTCCGCCAACAGCGCTCCACAGTTGCCATATAGCTATGATACCCCTGGTGATAACTGTGAGACAGCATGCCCTAACTAGCTGGGCCTGCCCACAGATGGTTCTTGGGTTCTTCTTGGCACATGGAGTAACTGTTCAAACCATGATGAGCAGCAGAAAGTGACGCCAGGCGAGTTGTGCTAGATCTAGGTCTCTCCAGACTATCTGTTCTACCCCACAGGAGAAAGACGTTTACTGGGGTGTGACCCTAAACATCCCATGTGCAATAAAAGCTCATGGCATCTAATTTGCTTCCTTCCTTCCCTGAGAAGAGAACTGGCACAAAAAAATACTCCTTGGTCCCACCCAGAGCACCCATTCCCAAGGAACTTATCTGTATTAGTCAGGGTTCTCTAGAGGAACAGAACTTATAAAGTGAATCTCTCTCTCTCTCTCTCTCTCTCCATATATATATATATATATATATATATATATATATATATATATATATATATTTGTGGATTTGTTGAAACAACTTAATAAAGACTTCTGTGGTCCAGCTGATCCAACAACAGCTGCCTATGTAAAGAAGGTCCAGGAATCCAATCCGAGTTGTTCAGTCCATAAGGCTGAATGTCTCAGCTGGTTTTCAGTATACACCAGAATCCCAAGGAAGTAGGCTCTAAAGCCAGTGAAGGAATGGAGTTGCCGGCGAGAATGAGAGCAAGCAGGCAAAGAGAGCGCTTTCCCCTTCCGTGTCCTTTACAGAGACTGTAAACAGAAGGTGAGGTCCAGATTAAAGGTGGATCTTTCCACCTCAAAGATCCATATTAAAAGTGTATCTTCCTGCTTCAACTTATTTAATGAAGAAACTGCCTCACAGGTGTGCCCAGTCATTTGGATTTTACTTAATTCCAGACGTAGTGAAGTTGACAACCAAGGATAAGCCACCACATTACCCTAGCCAGCCTGGGGGAAGAGGGCGAACGGAACAGACAAGAGATACTCCTAACAGTGATGGTTTGGTATGTTCATTACTCACTGAATGACTAATTTCCTACATAGTACCCGAGAAAGGTCACAGCATCTTTCTTGGTGGCTTAGCACAAATCTGGCGGGAACATGTCTTGGTTAGCTTGGCAGAAGAGCAAACTGACAGACAGCGAAGGGTCATCTGTGGAGGCTCCATCTTCCACAAAGTTCTCACTGTGTGAGACACGGGGCCGTGAGTATGCAAATCAGCCCAGGGCAGTGCCACCGACCAGGAGCCAAGAGCCCTGGCTGCCCAGGCACATACCGGATGGCTGCAGCCCACGGAGTCCACTCCCTCTGCTGACTCTCCATGGACGCGTCCCCAGGAAGACTTCCTTCACTTGCTGAAGAGTGTCCCCAGGGAAGCGTGTGTATGGACCTCCTTAGTGTGAGAGAAGCAAGCCCCAGAAAGTGAGTCTGAGTGAGAGCTTAAGGTTCCTACTCACACAGAGTCCATGATGCTCTCTCTACACACCAAAGGTGGTAATAGAGGCAAACACACTGCAGACGCTGACATCAGCACTTTATCAGACTGTTACTCCACCCCTGAGTCTAGCCAAGAGTTGAACTCGCGAAGGGAATGTCATCTTATTTTTTTTTTGAGATTTATTTATTTATTATGTATACAGAAGAGGGTGCCAGATCTCATTACAGATGGTTGGGAGCCACCATGTGGGTGCTGGGAATTGAACTCAGGACCTCTGGAAGAGCAGTTGGTGCTCTTAACCTTTGAGCCATATCTCCAGCTCCGTAATCTTATTATTCTTAGGTAATTCCATACATGTATATACGGAGTGTCGGGCATTTTCAGCATTATTACCCTGTCTCATCCTGGTATGTCTCGCACTGACACTTTCTCCCCCAACAAGCCCATCCCTTCCTACTGTGATGCCTGCTGACTTTTCTTTTTTGACTGTTTGCTTCCTTCTTCCTTCTTCCTTCCTTCCTTCCTTCCTTCCTTCCTTCCTTCCTTCCTTCCTTCCTTCCTTCCTTCCTTCCTTTCTTCTTTCCTTCTTTCTTTGTGACTAAGTTTAATCAGGGTTGCTTATATGAGCTGGACGGTAAGTTACTTACTGGAACATGGGCAACTGGTCAGTGGTTACGCCACTGAAGAAAATGCTCCGTTCACTGCCCATGGTCCAGTGAGGGTGGGCTCCCATGAGGAAAGGGTAACGGGCCAAATCTTGTGAAGGTCTTGTGCGTGTAACCACAGCTGTAATAAGTTCATGAATGGAGTGGTCACGTCCTGTCCTGAAGACACTGCTTTTCTAAGACTCCTTCTCAAACTCTGGCTCTTACGGTCTCCTTCCCACTCTTTTGCAAAGTTCGCTGAGCCTTAGAGGGGATGAGAAGAGAGAGATTGCTTTCAGGACCAAGCATTTCACAGTCCCTTTTATTCTCCACACTTTGGTCTCCTCAGTCGCCACTGCCCACTGCAGAAGGTAGTTTCTCTGATGAAGGTCCAGGCAGCACTAATGGTTAGTATAAATATAAAATTTTTAAATTGTAAATACTTATTCGATGTGTGTATGTGCACGCACATGTGTGTGCCTACGTGCACACACACTTATTTGTGCCACCGTGCATGTGTGAAGGTCAGGAGACAACTTGCATAGTTAGTGCTCTTCTTCCACCATGTGAGTCCCAGGGGTTGAACTCGGGTCATCAGGTTTAGCGGCAAGCACCTCCGCCCACTAAGACATCTTATCATCCCGAAATAGAAGTACTTAAAGGGCAGTTTGACACTGCGTCCATTTCGCAAAGCTACAACAGTATGGTCTCCCCTAGGACCTTTGACCTCCCTAGTCATAGGTTCTTGTTTGTGTACAGTACCAGGCATGAGTTTCCTCGTGTGGAGTAGATCTCAAGTCAAATCAGAAAGTGACTGGCGACCCTCATAAGAGCTATTAGATGCCACGATGGCACCATTGGACACATCTTGCCAGGTGGGTCAATATTGTAGCCTGTTCAGTCCGCAGGTGGCTAGCAACACTGATGACTTTTCTCATCAGTTTGCTTAGCATCACCCTCCAGCACTATGAATGCTAGCCAGTGAAGAGGGAACCTCCAGCTCAGATCCAAACGCATTTCTCAATATCCTGTATCCTAAGTGTATGGTGTCTTCAGCAACGGGGTCTTGGGATTGAGTTCTGGTGGGTGACCGAGGGCATTCACAATACCCTGCAATGTTTTGGGGGCCTTCGAGGCCTCCCTAACCAACACTTTGTAGGGAGGTACCCCACAACTGGATCTTGGATTTTGTTTAATAATCTTTGGCTCCTGAAAGGAGCATTATCCGTCCAATCACGGTGCCTCCATTCAAACTTTTTAAATTATGTTTTTAATAGGTTTATAAAATAATAGGTAGGTTTCCATACATCTTTTTCATGCATCCTTGGTTTTGGTGTAAATACATCTGGCTACCACACATGAATAAAGGAGGATACAAGAAAGCATAGGCTGCTGAAACGTCTGCCCACAAAGCGCTCACATTTACCAGCTGAAGCAATTCATGCGTGCTGTGCGACATTTGGGGCGCAGAGCATGGTCACAAATATTACAGACATTCTACGAGAGGCTGAGACCATTTCTCCATCCCTTGACTCCATGCTTGGCCAGGTATCTTACTTTGACTAACAGACACTGGCAATTTAATGTAAGCAGAGGCCTGACATATGCTGTGTGTAGACGCTTCTTCTCTCTTGATCCTTTGTGACGGGTCCTTTGAAGCAGCTTTCGCTAAAAGCATCGACTCCTCTCTTGGGTCCACATGGTAAGTACATCACGGTGAAAGCCCAGCATCTCTGCCTTCATGTTGCACCTGCCCCCTTTACCTTGCCTCTGTATGTGGTCATCACGATGGAGTGTCTGCCCGAAGGGGTGTCTGTCTTCATAGCCTGACTTATCCCTCTAAAAGGCGGAAGGCACAGAGACAGCCCATTGCCTTAAACCTGCAGCCACCTTGGCTATCAGAAACAACAAGGCCTCACAGGACACGCCACCCACAAAGTGAGGGCCATGGCTGATGATGAAAAGCCTCTCTCCGGAGCAGATGGCCTTTTAGGGACCAGGCGGATCTCCTTGGGTGAGGACGGTGGTTAGTAGGTTAATGAGCTAGGACAAGGATGGGAAGCTCACACCTTGACCAGGACGGCCTGGTTATGCAAACTTCTTGCCCCATGCCTTCATTTTTCCCTCTATCTAAACCCAAATAAAGGGGCAGCTGGAACCCTTTGTTTGTCCCGTCCCCCCCCCCATCATGGATGGAACCTCTTCCGCCTTTTATCATCGCTCATCTCTTGAGTAAGCACGGCAGAAGGAGGGCTGAGCAGAGCTTGTTGGCGTTTCAGAGCTGAATCTTCTACCCTAAAACTCTGGGTACACTTTCAGAACCTAAGTTTGACGTAGAGGTCAGAAGAGACACCATGGACTGAGTGTAAGCAAGGCCATTCTCATTACCTCACTTCAGCTGAGCCAGCCCAGACAGAAGTACTGTTTGTTCAATGCATGTGTTTGGGAATGTTTTATTTTATCTATCTATCTATCTATCTATCTATCTATCTATCTATCTATCTATCTGTCTGTCTGTCTGTCTGTCTGTCTGTCTGTCTATCTATCTATCTATCTATCTATCTATCTATCTATCTATCTATCTATTTATCTATCTAACGTGTACTTACTGATACATATATATATACATACATACGTACACACACATATATATATTTGTCTGTAAATATGTCTGTGCACCACGTGCATACTGGTGTCTAAAAAAGTCAGAAGGGGGCGTTAGATCCCCTGTAACCGGAGTTACAGATGGCTGAGAGCCACTAGTGCCTGCTGGGAATTGCACCTGGGTACACTAGAAGAGCAGCCAGTGCTCTTAAGTGCTGAGCCATCTCTCCAGCCCGTCAGAGTGTTTTTACGCTACTAAATTTGGGGGTTTATAAACATTTTTTTTTGTTTACAAGCTGGCTTGTAAACATTTTATTCTCCGGAATGAGAAGGAGCCCTGACTTTTTTTTAGAGCTTCAATGTCTACCTCAGTTTTAAATGTCATGAGTGCACTGTAATTTATTAAACTATTTTCTTATTGTTAGAATTACATTTGCTACCAAATGTGTGACATCACATTTATTACAACTATAAATGACATTCTCATAAACATCTGTGTGTATATATTGTTAGCCAGGTTTCGAGTGTTTCATAATAACAGAAGCTTCCCCTGTGATAGTAGACTTACGAAATGAGAATTGGCTAGATCAAAATGTAAGCTTTTTAATATGTACTAAATTATATGCTAAAAGGTTGTACAAATCCTCACACACATACATGTGTATACATTTGACCATGTTTGCATGCATTCATTAGATACACTTAAATAAAAATAGATTTGTAATAAAACCTGTAAGCATGATTATGACCCTGTAAACAACCCTTACAAGTCACTACCAAGTACAACCCTTTAATAATATCTTTGTTAATCCACGGGGATTATTTTTCATTAAATTTTAATTTCTTTACAAATTGATGTTGAATTTTTCATACATTATTAAGAATTTTTACACAATAGAGTATACATGATGAATTTTTTTTGTATTAAGTTAAATCCAACTTGAGTGCCCCATGGGACATAATTGGCAGGAAGTTCAATATTCCATTTCTGTTCCCTGCCTTAGAATGTGGGAAAGTGTGCCTTATGGGACATTGGGAGGTGGGAAGCTCTGTGCTGGTGGCTCATCTTCCTCCATGCTGAGCCAGGAGAAGCTTCACCAGTTTCCCATGGCCTTGAAGTAGCTGGGTTTCCACACCTCCACATCTTATTGAAGACGCTATGCCTTGCAGACCTTGGGGTTCCCGCTCAAATCTTTAACCATCTGTTGCTTAGCCAATACCACCTTCTGTCAGCACTATAAAAAATGAGATGTAGCTCTCTAGTTCTCTGTGCTTGGCAAGGTTATAATTCAGGAAATTTTAAGTGTGGCACCTGAGGTGTGAGGAAGTGATTTGGAGAAGGCGGACAAGAGGTTATGTGTGTCCAGCATGTTTTTCCCAAATGATGGAGCCCTATTTCAAAAGATACACATTTTAACAATTAGACATTTAACATAAGCCAGATATATGGGTATGTATCCGTAACCCTAGGAATCAGGAAGCTGAGGCAGGAGAATTGCCATAAGCCCAAGGCTAGCCTGGGTTACATGCTGAGACTTTATCTCAAAAAGCAAAAGAAAAACAAAGGTCATCTGGGGGCCAGAGGTCAAAGAAACATGATCCATAAGTGTTGGGCCATAATTCTGCATATTTCTTTTATGATCAAGAAAAACAATCAAGTCAGAGATGTCCCTGAGTAGTGTGACACTTGCCTTGGCAGGCTCATGACTACACACTCAACCCTGAGGGGGGATCACGAGTCTGATTAAGATAGAACGTAATATAAAGTCAAACTCAGAAGACATTTCATGGTGTATTTCAATATACTACTGGGGTCCTCTATTCTCACCCCCAATACTTTTTCAGACACCCATCTTTGGGAAAGTTTTACTTCCACCAAGCTGCAGAGGGTCCAGCTTCATCAGTCTTCAAGGCCGTGGGCAGATGTTAAAAACCCAGTCACAGTTGCTCGTTCCCAAGGAGAATAGCCTTGTCCTCAACTTGGGTCAGGGAGCAGAGGTAAATAGCCAAGTCGTTATGAACCCCGCTGACTGGCCATCTGTTGTCACACCTGCCCTGAGTCACATCGGTCAGATGAGGCAGGGGCCGTGGTGCCTGCATCAAAATCAAATGAAATGTTGGTGAGGAGAGGAATGAAGGCAGCTGACACCCATTTCCTGAGGAGCCCCGAGTGTCCTGGCTCTCAGAGTGAGATGTCGTCTTCTCTAAGGATCCTGAACCGAGGAGAAATGGAAAGTATTCCAAGTCCACCATGCCCCCGACAGTGCTGAAACTAAGTTACAGATATAAAGGTGGGCAGAGGTGGGTCAGCAAGATGATTCAGAAAATAGAGGCACTTGTTGGCAAATACCATAACCTGAGTTTGGTCCCTGGAACCTACTTGGTGGATGAAGAGAAAGTTGTCCTCTGACACTGTGGCAGTGTGCTCTCCTCACACACACACACACACACACACACACACACACACACACACACACACACACACACACACACACATTAAAAAATAAACAGGATGGGGCCCTTGGGAAGCAGAGCAGGTTAGGACTTGGGTTGTCACAGGATCAGACAGGTGTGCTTAGAAGTCTTCTCTTTTTCCAGGCCTTCCTATGGCTCTGCTTGAGCCAATGAAAAAAAATGGGCGCCTATTTAGAAGGAACAGAAGAGCCCAGAAGCCTCTGGACTCCAAGAGGCAACAAGTCAATGACGTGCTCAGCAGCCTGCAAGATGATGAAACCTCCCAGGCTGAGGGAGAAGTTCATGGCCAGGAATGCCTGCTCCCGAGAGCTCGCTGATTGCCATCCTCCCCGTTAGCAAAAACAGATGTGTGCTCGCAGAGAAAGTAAACATTTGAGCTCAGTATATGTTCCTCTTTGCAGATCTCGTTTGGCACTTCAATGCGAGCAGATCGTCTCTGAAGCAGAGTGGAACTTTCCTATAACGTCGGTGGCAAGTGACAGGCTCACATCTGTAGATTAGGTTAACTGTTATAGCGAACGTCTACACAGTAGATCTTTTTCTCTGCCATGAGAAGACTCGGAGCTGTAACTCTACTGACAGGGAATAAACAAGCGAGGGTGAGATGTAAGAAAGATCTTGTGTGTGAATCTTAGTTTTAACACTTTTCTGTATAGCCTGCGGCAAAGCCATTTAACCTCAGTGCCTCCATCTGTGAAATGGAGTTTTTATTTAAAAACAAAAGTTTGAAGTGGACATGAGCATGAGCTCAATTGCACGTCCTAGTGAAACAGGGCCCTGGCAGAGAACAGAGCACTGGGATGTTTCTCTGAAGAGCCACCGTTGTGTACACTCGTGCTAAAGAAGTTAACGGGATGCTGTGCCCTTGTGTGGCCACCTTTCCCATACTGCTCTAGTGCTTCTTCACCCATCCATCTGTCTCAAGATTCACAAAGGGATCCAGACCCGAAGTGTGAGCCACTGTACAGAGGAGATCCTGTCGTATTTATCTCCACCCTGTGCTTAGCGTTAGATTATCCCACGGTGCTTGAAGAAGTAGTCTCCAATAACTTAGTACCCAGGTTTGTCTCCATTCACTATTCCATAATATTTATTGATACCTACAGTGTGCCATGCACAGATAATGACACAATAATGATAGCCATAATTCAGTCATTATGAGCCGGGCGGTGGTGGCGCACGCCTTTAATCCCAGCACTCAGAAGGCAGAGCCAGGTGGATCTCTGTGAGTTCGAGGCCACTCTGGACTACCAAGTGAGTTCCAGGAAAGGCGCAAAACTACAGAGAAACCCTGTCTTGAAAAAAAAAAAATTCAGTCATTACCAAGTACATAGTCTCATGATTCATCTGCTCTAGATATGACCACCCAGACTATTCATCACCCTAAGCTTGTTTTCTAAGGTTTAATTATTGAATGTGTATGTAGAGGGGTGTGTCCAGTGCACATATGTGTATCATGTGCATCCAGGAGCCTGTGGAGTGCAATGAACCAAATCCAGGTCAGAAGACTGGGTTTGCAAGAGCCGTCAGTTCTCTTAGCCTCTGAGCCAGCTCCCAGCTCGAGGTTAGTCTTTAAACCCAAGAAACACCCAGTATCCTCAGAAAAGACAGACCCTAGCCCATCATCTCACCCTACTCAGTGACTTCCTGCTTCCTCTGCGGCAACACCAGGGCAGAGCAACCCTTACCACAACCATGCGTGTTTTCGAGGAAGTTGCCTTGGAAACCATGTTGAATATCAACCACTACCCTCTAGTGGTTGATATTCAAGCCCCCTCTGGAGGTTCTGAGAAAGTCACTCAGGGCCTATGGTCTGTCCTGGGACCCTGGCACCCACCTCCTCTTTCTGGGTTTTCTGAAGACATGAGTCGGAGTCTATCTAATGCGTTAGTGGGTACCTGTTGGCACCTGAGTTAAGTCTGCCACCAAGCTGGACATGCATGTAGGTCGCACTGCAGAGTTCCTATGACCAGGCTGCAGCAGACCTGTCAGTGGTTACAACAGATGAATTTCCCCTCCTTCCACGGCTGTGAGACAAGCTGCAAGTTCAGTGCAATGTGTGAGCGTGGTAAATTACCATGCAGGGGAGGTCTGGTTATTCTCTGCACACCCACCTGCCCTCTTGTTAACGTTCCCTTTTTTTTTAACATATTTTTTTTATTAATTTTACATACCAATCACAGATTCCCCTCTCTTCCCTCCTCCGGCCCCCCAGCCTTCCTCCTCAATCCATCCCCCACTCTCTCCTCCGACAAGGTAAGGCCTCCCATGGGGAGTCAGCAGAGCCTGGTCCATTCAATTGAGGCAGGTCCAAGCCTCTCCCCCTGCATCAAGGCTGTGTAAGGTGTCCCCCTATAGGTAGTGGGCTCCAAAAGCCAGATCATGCACCAAGGATGGATCCTGATCCCACTGCCAGGGGGTCCCTTAAGCAGATCAAACTATACAACTGACTTGCTTATGCAGAGGGCCTAGTCCAATCCCATGGAGGCTCCACAGCTGTTGGTCTAAAGTTCATGAGTTCCCTCTAGTTTGGTTTGGTTGTCTCTGTAGGTTTCCCTATCATGGTCTTGATGCCCCTTGCTCATAGAATCCCTCTTCTCTCTCTTCTACTGGGCTCCTGGAGCTCAGTCTGGTGCTTGGCTGTGGATCACTGCATCTGCTTCCCTCAGTTACTGGATGAAGGCTCTATAATGACAGTTGGGGTATTCACCAATCTTATTACTGGGGTAGGCCAGTTCAGGCACCCTCTCCACTATTGCTAGTAGTCTAAGCTGGGGTCATCCTTGTGGATTCCTAGGAACTTTCCTAGCACCCAGCTTCTCCCTATCCCCATGATGTCTCCCTCTATCATGGTATCTCTTTCATTGCTTTCCCACTCCATTCCTATGGGGGGATGGGGGCAATAGAGGGTAAGGGTTGGGGGATGAGAACATAAGGGAACAAGATGGTGGAGCTGGAGCTGGTACTGGAACTTTCCCTTTCTTTCAGCAATAGAAATCCTCTGATTTTTACCTGATCACAAAACCATCCAGAATAATGTCTCTATTGACCTTCGCTACTATGATAGTGGGATCAATGGGTGTCATAGGGCTACAACTAGCAGTAGTCTGAAATAATCGACTAGCATGCATCTATCTCTTTCTCTGCTGTCCTCCCTGCCCCCCATTGCTTGGACTATAAGGGTGGTGGCTGGAGCTCTTGCATCTGCTTTCAATGTTGGGGTGACCATACATTGAGAACTCTAGGACAGAGAGGTGTCCAGAGTGGCGCAGAGCCCCTAGTCTTGAGCTGTCTACCCCTGGACCTTGTGCAAAGAAGAAATGATCTTACATAGAGTGTAAGCCGTGCTGCTTTGGGCCCTGGCTATGTCCAGCCACTGAGAAACTCACCGCTCTGGTCAATTTGCTTCACTTCCCCCCTTCTGTAAAGTGGGGATGCTAAAGCCAGCATGATTACCTTCTAGAATTGTTATAAATGAGCTAAAAACATACAATTGAAGATGTGTAAAGCCTAGAATGGACTAGGGATATATGGACTATCTTAACAGCAGCTGCTTAATATATAAGTGAAGAGATTCCCCCAAAGGCACAAGATTGAAGGTTATTCTTGAAGGTCTGATAACAGTTGTTTTAACTACTCTAGTAATAGCAATCGTTATAATAGTAATATTCTCTTCAAATTGGGCTGGAGATACACCTTAGCAACAGAGCATGTGCTTAGCACACACACAGTCTGTACTGATGGATTTGTTTGTCCACTTGACACAGGCTAGAAGCATCAGGGAAGAAGGAATCTCAATCGAGAAGATGACTCCAGCAGACTGGCCTGTAGACAAGCCTTTGGGGCATTTTCTTGATTGATGGCTTATGTGGGAAGGCCCAGGCCAGTGTGGGAGGTGCCACCCCTGACCAGGTGAGTCTTGGGTTGCATAAGAATTCAGGCTAAGCAAACCATGAGGGGTACAGCATGGCCTCTGCTTCAGTTCCGGCTTCCAGGTTCCTTCCTTGAGTTTCTACGCTGACTTCCCTTACATATCAGGACATGTTTGCTGAAATATACCCTTTCCTACCCAAGCTGGTTTTAGTCAAACCTACTTGGTTCACTTTTATCAACTTTGACCACAGCCATAGAAAGCAAACCAGGACACGGCCATGAGTTCTATCCCTCCCACCAGTAAATAAATAGAATTTTTATATAGCACTTAGTAACTTAACCTGGTATGTTAGGTATTGTTATTATCTTTGTTATTTTGAGGCAGAGTCCTACTAGATAGACCAGGCTGGCCTGGAACTTGCTATGTAGCCCAGAATGTGAACTCATAATCCTGCCTCCCACCTCCCAAGTGTTAGGTTTAAAGGCCGATACCACTATGCCCCGAGAGTTAGGTATTGCTACTTTTACTTGAAGGAGAAGAAAATGGATACTCGGAGAAGTCAAGCCAAGGATTACACAAGTTGCTAAGAGACCGTGGTGATATTTAAACACAGATCTTTCACTTCCAAATCCCTTACATTTTCCACAAGCTTTCATTTGTTCCTCAACACAAACCGTTGCACCATTGTGTGCCGTATTTCCTTACGTGCCGTCCACGTATTTTTTTTTTTCTGAAGGACTAGATTCTTCTACTAGTAAAGAGACACAGTGAAAACGTGCACATCTCCACGTAAGAGATGTTGTTTTCTCACTTCTGGCCGAACCTTGATGGGACCAGGCCCTCCATGTGTTTACATAAAATGTTAGTCCTAGAAATATGCTCTAGGAAAGCAGATCCAACAGAGCCTTGGCTCAGGAGTGAGTGGAAGATGAGCCTCCATCCGTCTTGATTGCAGCCTGGATGCCCAGGCCTGATGCTGATATTCAGGCTCACGTTGAAAGGGGCTCAAACAAGAGAGGAGCATCTGGGGTGGGGCCGGCCGGGCTTGAAGACAGCGCATGTGTTTTGAATTGGCAATTCTTTTAACAGAAGCAATTTGGAAGCCAGACAGGGAAGCAGCCGCTGCTGGGACTGTTACAGCCATTTTGGCCAGCGGTGGCTCTCTGAAGGGACTTCAGTGAGATGCAAGGAAGAACTTTTTCACTCTGGTGGTTGCGGGAGGGGGACATTCTCAAGTGGGTTGTAGAACTTTGCTGTTAGTGGGGCTGTGTCAGGCACAGGGGGAGGGTGTGCTGCGTCCACCAGCAGGAAACAGGAAGTGAAAATCAGGAAGTCTTGGTAGAGCGGTTCCCAGCCATGACTTCCTCACGGGGCCACCCTGAGTTCAAATCCTAGCTTGCTGGCTCAGTAACGTGAGCGAAGCTGCCTCGCCACTCGATTCACAGTTTCCTCACCTAGAACAGGGTGACTGGGGTTAAATAAAAATATGTCCAATTTTATGGAAGGTCTTCAACAGATATTCATTTCGTCTTTTTCGCATGAAGCTTTTCCTAGTCGGCGACTCTATGATTCATCACTTCCTGGAATTCTAAGACACTCGTAACTTTCCAAGAGTGGAAACTGCCTCGGCTGTGGCTTCCAAGCCCTTCCGAGCATTGCCGTGAGAGGTGAGAGGTAGTGACTGATCAGAAACCAGCAACCCGGCCTGACGTTCCCTATCAGTGGACGGCGTTTTTCTCTTCTGCTC